CTCGTAATGGATAAGGGAGCCATGGCATGTTAGCTCAGGTGGCGGCTCGCAAATTTCAGGGATGTCGTAGGTGGCATTGCTTTGGACTGGAGGGAGTGGGAACCTAGGTTGGGGGGAGAATGGCAGGATACCCTGGAGGTATGACTGCCTGTATGGAGGCGGAGAGTGATCACATGGAGGTGGAGCGTGTTCAGCAAGTAGTGTTTGGAAGTCCGGTCTCGTGACTGGAAAAAGACCGTAACCAGACCGGACCAAGACCGCAAAAGACCGGACCTGCGGTTACGGTCTTTTATTTTTGAAATGTAAAGACCGCAAAAAGACCGGTTAACGTGAACCGGTCTTGACCGGTTTGGACCGGTTTTTTGTAGCCCCTTAAATACCCTTTAAAACGCACCCAAGAACGTACGATTTGGTAAAAAAACGAGAGAGATATGAATTAAAATGTAAATTACTTTTGGGAATAATAGATGTACCAGACTTATTTTATAGAAGCACCAATACCTAACGGAATTTAACGTTCTTGAGCTCGTTTTGAAGCTATTAGAGATGTTAATAAATTTACCGATTCATAATTTTAAAATATTGGCCTAAAGACCGGTCATAAACCGGTTAAAACTGATGCAGACCGAAACCAGTCTATAGACCGCAAAAAACCGCGGTCTGCGGTCTTTTTGCGGTCCGGTCTGGTCTTTTGACTTCTGGGGAAAAGGCAGACCGGTTACGGTTACGGTTAACGCCCCTGGGCATCAAAAAACCGGACCGAACCGGACTTTCAAACACTATCAGCAAGTGAAGGTGCAGGATGGGAGTGACTGTGTGAGTGTGGTTTAGACATTTGGGCAAATCTGTGCGTTGGATTTGAAGGAGTGTGGAGCAGCAGTGGGCTTTTTTTTAAAAAAATGAGGGGAAACCCGTTTTCAGCGGTGTCAGGCATTCCAACCTTGTCCTTGCTCAGGTGCCGTAACGTTACCACAAGAAGTTAGGTCAACTTATGGATAGGACTAAATCGATTCCAGGGCGCAACTTAGGAGAGGGAGGGCAGTGGGAAGGTGGGCTTGTGAACAGGCAATGACCTAGGGCTGAGTGGGCGGCTTGTGGTGATCCTAAACACCCAGCAACCTAGTGTGCAGTTACCTGCAGCAGTCGGGATTGGTGGCATCGAGTACTGTGACATCATATTGGAAATGATGGGCTGGTTTCCTGTTGGCACAGCAGCAAAATTCTACATAGTACTGTTGTTGCCAGACTGACACAGTTTCAGAATGTCATATTAACCGACAGGACACCATGTCTGGTTCGTGTGGAGAATTAGTGGAAGTAGACTGTAGTTGATATGGCAGCTGCAGATGCTTCCTTTTTTGGTGTTTATCGGTCTGTGTGCCAGCCATGTATCAATCAATACTTTTCATTACTACCTCGGAAATGGAATACTTCCTTCAGATATAATTTACTGTTATTTGTGACCATCCTTTGACCATGTCCTCTTGTGCTGACACACCCTGCTGATGACCAGGATTTGGGCTATGGGCCGCCATGGTGCCACTATTTCAGGCGACTCGATCTGCCTCTGTCGATCCCTGGGATACAGGGTTCTTGCGCATGTTTAAGTTGGGAGGCACGACGGCCCTGCGCAGATGACGTCATTTACAATGAGTGGGTTTCCTGCCGGTCAGTGTGAGATAGTCAGCCATCGGATGGTCCATCAGACGGTATTCCCATATATGCATATTTGTACCGCCATGCCTCAAAGGACGATCATGCCGTCTGACTCGGACAACTACTATCACAACATAACTTCCAGTCATCAGGAAATGTTCACGTGCCTGGGTTACC